TAGCATCTCTATTACTCACAAATTACATTGAGGGAGCTGCTTGAGAACAACCATATCCACCTTAATCTTACCATAATCTACCTCTCAAAGACGGCACCCTTACTGCTTTATTTTTTACAGGGCAATCCCGAAATTCCTGGTCGGAACGCATCGGCTTTAGGGTTAGGGTTAGCTATACTGGTTAGGAGCTATAGTGAAATTATGAACGACTATGAATTTCATTAGTAAGTTTTTAGCAAAATTGATTAATTCCGGCCAGGGTTTTGATGCATTCCTAAGGAATTTGGGGATTGCACTGTAAGAGTTTATCAGCCTTGTGTCATGAAATTCTGGTTTGAAGATCAGTTCTAACTCTTACTGGATTCAATAAAATTACATGATCTTGTGTAGTAAACAAACGTGAAAAATATAAGAAATTGTAAAAAAAAAAAAAAAAAAAGAACATAAATAACACAATAATTTACTATGACAATTAACTTCCGACCTCTAAGTTAAAGTTTTCAGAATAAAATTTTACTCATAGGGCATAGTTCTTAATTTTAGATATATAGGAATTTTTGAGATTAATTCGGGCATATTGCCCGTGAATATCTTTGATGCCATAAATAAGAAAATTCGATTTTCTAAAAAAAAAATTTTTTTTTTGAAGTGTTAATACGTATTTAATGGTTTATAAGCTGTAATTAGCAGCGTTGGTCTATGACTTGTTATGACATATTTACCGATTACAGGATTATAAGTTATGATATTATGACTTGTTATGACATATTTACCGATTATAAGTAGGGATGGATCAGTCCTAGAAAGACCGAATAAAATCGGTCTTTTTAACCGGTCCTATAGTTATTCGGTCCACGGTCTTGAGACCGGTCCCGGACCGGTCCAAAAATAGAAGCGGGTATTTTTTTTTATTGTGCTGTACCCGGTAAACTGGTACTTAATACTGGCCATATATATATATATATTTTTTATTGTACTGTACGTATCCGGTAAGCTTTAATACCGGTTATATATATTTTTATCTAAGAAATTAAGAATATAAAAATTTTTTACACATGTAAAATGAATACTACGGTTTCGAATTGGCGGATGGATCAAAAGCTTTTATATAGCCCGCAAAATAAAATTTATAAAAAGTTTGGCCCACATTTGCTATATATTTAACAGATTCGTATTTCAATTGTAAAATCTTTTAATTTGAATGATATGTGCAGGCCTCCAAATGGTCTTAAATTACAATCTACCTTTGTTACAATGAAGCGATCAGGTTGGAAAATTTTATCCATAATAATAAATATCCGCTATAGTATTATGTAGTATAATACCGTACAGCGCGAACTATAGTGCCCCGGGTACGATACATTCCACAGCTAAAATCCAAGTTAGTACCCGAGTATTATATAAGAGGTGTATTTACATAGAAATGATATATACTACATAGTTAATATCCGGGTATCTTGCATTCAACTGCGAAAAATTTTATAGGGGGTACTTTGATGTGGGGTGCTATAGGTAATAATTTAAAATATTCTAAATAATTACTCTGTCTGTTATAACAAAGTGTATTGAATAAGCATTGAAAATAAGATGTGTCTCATATAGTCATTTCTTAAAATATAATAATGTCATCGTTTAATCATAAATATAAAATAAAATCGTTATAATTACCTATTTTTTTATCATCCGCATAATAAATGTAATTTGATCACCAAACGATTCAGTTTTTGTAATAAAATCCAAACAATATAAAATATCCAATTCGTTCTTTTTTTTAAGAAGTTACTCATTTTACCATGTGTACAATTAATGAGCTTCTTACTTCCCCCAAGAAAATACAAATGTTGAGTTTTTAAATCCCATAATTAACCAAGATAAAAATTTCGAACCTCAAGAAAATCAAGATAGTGACTCATCAATAAGCTCCCAAACAGATGAATGTGTTAACTTATGACCTAAAAAAAAAGAAAAACCAACCTCACAAGTGTGGAAATTTTTTATAAAAAATAAATCTAAAATAGCAACGTGTAAGACATGTAAATCGAAATTTGGAAGAAGAACTGGTGTTTCAACGTTAAGATGACATCTAGAATTATATAATATTATAGTACCAATACAACAAAGTAACAAACCTGAATATAGTGACCATATTCCTTATTCAGAAAAAGAGCAGAAAGAGCATGATGATATAGTAACAAAATGGATATTATGTGATTTGCAACCCTTTACCATTGTTGAATGCAAAGAATGGCGAGATATAATTAAAAAATTTGATTCACGTTATTAGTTCCATAATCATCATGCAGAAAAGAACTGTATTACAACTCTATTTGAAACTAAAAAAGAACAACTAAAGTTAGTGCTTTCACAAATTCCTGAAAAAATATCATTCACGTCAGATATGTGGACTGCATCAAATGGTGCCACGTTTCTAAGTTTAACAATCTATTATGTTAATTCTTCATGGAAACTAAACTGTTTCCTTCTGAATATCATTCCAATGGAAGTACGCCATACGAGTAGTGTTACAAATTTAAATTTTCTTCTAACTAGCTGCTAATTGATTAATTGATTAATCGATTAATTGATTAATCAATTAATCGATTAAACAATTAATTAATCTAATTAATTTTATTAATTTTTAATTTGTAACACTACATAAGGGTCCAATATGGCTGATGCTATTATGAATGTTCTTCGCAAATTCGATTTGGCAAAAAAAACTTTAGCTCTCACTACTGATAATGCATCGTTGATGATTGTCTGTAGTGAGCTAATAACGAAGAACTTGAACAAGAATTTAATCATCTTGAGTTCTCACATTACAGATGCGTGGCTCACATTTTAAATCTTGTAGTTAGTCAAAGTTTGCACATGTCAACAAATCTATTGCAAAAGTAAGAACATTAATGTTATATATTAAGTTATCGAAACCAACAAACAATGCCCTAAAAGAGCTTTGTAATGTGAAAGGTATTACTTATCTTGCACCTGAACTTGATGTAAAGACCTGGTAGAACTCCACCTACTATATGCTCAAAAAATGGAAGAAATTAGAGCCCGCATTAAATTTACTTGCAGCCGACGATCTAACAGTTAAAGAAAGTATTTGAATCTAGAAAATTTTATTAGCATTAATGTAAATACGACTTTTATAACTTGATTTATTTTATTTTATTTTTTTTGTTTTTTTTTTTTTTTTTAATTATTAATTTTTTTTTAAAAAAAGGATACGCTTATTCTTCTTGAGCTGATAGAATGTGCTACTCATTTTCTATCCACGTCAAGATGCTCTACACATGGTGATATTCAGTTTGTTGTTCTTAGCATTCGAGAACACTTAGCTCGATATAGAAATGATTACACTTTTTCAAAAACTTAAATGGCTGATGCAATGTACTAAAAATTAGAAGGATACTAGTCAATACTTGATGAATCTTCTCGAATCTTGGCATTTCTTGATCCACAAGTCAAAATGTCTGCGTTCAGAACTGATGATGAAAAAAATCAAGTAATTAATTTAGTTTTAGGATTAAGGAAATATTTACCTGAAACATCATAGCAAACAATCATTACTAATAATTCAAGTGATGACTGAAGCTATTTTCATAACCTATGCTCTGTTGACATGCCTTTTTCTTTTACATATAATCAATATTCAACAAATTGTATCAATAGGAAATCAGAAAGTATCTCGAAATACCCTTACTTAGTCACATTGATCCTTTATGCTGGTGGCAATCACAACATCCTGAATTCCCAATACTAAGCACCATTGCCTGTGACTATCTATCAATTCAAGCAACTAGTGTTGCCTCAGAACAGGCTTTCTCAATTGCTGGAAGAACTATTTCAGAAGAAAGGAACAAGCTAGATGAAGAGACGGCACAATCAATTCTTTGCTTAAAAAGCTGGATCCGTAAAAAAATATGCTAAAAACTAATTTTTTTCTTTTAAAAAAACTAATAATATCAATTGTATTATGCTTTAAAACAATAAACATTCAAATCGTTTTCAAATCAAAAATTTTTTATTAAAAAAAAAATAATTCTTAGTACAATACAAATTTTTCTATAATGAACAGGATTCGCGTTTGAATAGCTATAGTAAAGTTGATTCTAACTTTAAATACAAAAGAAAAGTACTAAAACAAGTAAATACAAAGGTATATATGGTAATCGCAAAAATGCAAAAGCAAATAATCGTGCAAAAAATAAGTACAAGCGAAGATTTTTTTTTTTAGATTGTTGATTGATATAAATAGAACGATCTTATTGGTGTCTTATTGGTGTTTAATCACGTGATGTAACATGAATTTTGTAGATCAAAGGACCGTTTCATGGACTTGGACCGGACTAAAAAAAGGTATTGGACCGGTCCTTTATGGACCGGACGGACCAGACCGGACTAATCCATCCCTAATTATAAGTTATGATATTATGACATATTTACCGATTATAAGTTATGATATTATGACTTGTTATGACATATTTACCGATTATAAGTTATGATATTATGACCTATTATGACTCGTCATTATTAAGTGCATATCGATATACCTAAAATAGACGCAGGTAATTATTGATTGATTGTCCACTGCGCAACCTGCGCAGAATAACGTTTTATTCCCACAAAAAATCTCCCCTCGCGATTTTTATCCAATTAGATCGAAAGATTAGGTGTTATGAAATCTTTAATTCTGTAATTATTTTTTTGTGACTCTATTAAATGCATATAGATATTACCTAAAATAGACGCATATAATTATTGATTGGCCATTGTGCAGAATAAGTACGTACGTACGTACGTACTATTTATTTCCCACCGTGATACAACCCAAAAAAAGGGCACAGTACATACATTTTAGGTACGTACGTACGTACGTTGTAAAAGGGGAAAATAATGTGAGCTGCGTCGGAATAGTTACTGGGCCGAAAATAGAACAACTCACTACAA